CAACACTCAAGTGCACAAAACACCCCAATTTGAGAACGGAAAAAAAATGTACAAATAAGAGCCACGTACCTAAGGCATTAAAGTAAGAATGGTTTATGAGCTTTCCCACGGTAGAAAGTGAGAGCTCAAAGAGAGATTATACACTGTTATAAAGGAAATATATATAAAGAGAATAAGTTGTAGGAAAAATAGAGAGAGAGAGAACATGATGTAGAGAGATGGAAAAAAAGAGAGTTAAATAGGAGTGATGTACACTTGACACCCCCAACATAAAACAAGTATAGATAATAAAACACTCCATGAGATTTTCAAAAGGATAAATCGAGTATATTATAATTACTTTATGTCAGATTTTGCATAAAAGTGATTTAAGATTGCTTTTGCACAAATTTTAAAACGTTAGAGTATTTATAGCATATTTTTAAAATTAGGTTAGCAATTCACGAAATATATACCAGGAATGTTAAGTTTGCTTACGTGATAATATGTGGACTATTTTATATGTCCAAAATATAATATGATATCCAAAAAAACACAAAAAGAATAGAATGTGATAATATGTGGACTATTTCATAACAACTATTATATCTCATCCTTCTAAGAATAGAATGTGGATAATCATAATATAACACACTTGTACATTTTTCAAAGGAAGCAAGCAATGTGTGTGTGTGTGTGTGTATATATATATATATTTCTTTTGCACGCAAGCAATATATAAAAGTTGCAGTTTACAATGTTACCGTTACTACACCCACCCGTAAATTGGAAAGAATATTATGCACGTGCATGCCTTTAAATTATGTAGGGGACGGCACGAGGAGTCATGTTTTGTCTTCTCGATACTTGCTAAGATTCGATCTCGAGTAACTTGCTTTTTCCCATCAATCACACAATATATATATATATATATATATATATATATTATTTACACACTGCTTCCCGCCTAAAGATGTGCAGTGATTTATGTTAGTATCATTTTATAGTAGTAGTAATTAGACTCCCGTGACGAGGCTCACAAGAAGTTACTTAAAAAATGTGTCACAACTCACAAGAAAGTATGTACTGAACTATATATTATCAAACCTTTAAATTAATTTCCTTTGGCATTGCAATGCATTAAGATTAAGATTATGGTGTCCGTTATTTCGTGTTTTTTTTTTTATTTTAAACATTTCAGGTTTCTACGAGTACTTGGAATTTAATTGTGTTCTTCTACATGATTTATATAGTCTCTCTCTTTTTTATTTTTTAGTTCATTCCATTCCATTATTCTAGATTTTTTTAAAAAATAAATCTTGCTCTACTTAAGTAACAGATATTTTTTTTTAATTAGTTATCAACAATCACAAATAAGAAAGGGAAAAAAAATATTAGGGAGGGACTTGTTTGGTTTAGTTTTTATTTATTTATTTATTTATTTTTTAGAGAGAACTGAAAATTAGAAATTTATATGGAAACGTGTTTGGTTATAGTTTTGTGATTTTTTCATTGAAAAATTTCAATTATTAAAAAGATTTGTTTTTACATAATTGGATTGTCAATCAATTGTTCACTGTATAATGACTGATGTTAAAAGAGAGAAATAAGAGGGGGAGAGTCGAACACCATGGATGTGGTGTGTTAGAGAGTGAGACAATGAGACGTCAGACTCCAATATTTCACTTTTTTTTAAGACAAAAAATATTAGTAGTGGAGTATTTTAAAAATTTGAGTGGAGATTTTAACAAAAATTATAGCCCTTTATATAAATGAAGTCCAAGGATCCGTCCCCAATCGACCCTCTATAGCCTATAGGATTGTCTGTGGTTGCATGCAAGGAAGGATCTATTTATTATTGTATTTTATATTCTTAAATTTATATTTTTTTATATTTATATTTATAAAATTTTGAAATTTTATTTATTTATTATGATTATTATTATTATTTGGACATTTTAACCATATGATCAAAGCACCCGTGTACTAAAAAAAAAAATTTATGTAAGGATAAATTGCCACGAAACAGTCAACTAGTTGACTGGTGATTTTACCAAAATGGCCTTCCCTTATTAAAAAAAAAAAAAAATTAAGAATTTAATTTATGAAATTCCCAATACTTTTTATTTTTAACACTTTATCTTTGCCTGTTGATTAAAAAATCCACCTACACTTCTTGAGGTTTGACAATATTTTACTTATACTCTCTCTATATTTTAATATTTCACCTACCTTTCCTATCCGGTTGCTACACGGAGTTAGAGTTGTTTGTGAATTTATTTGCCCATGAATAATTTGAACAATTTTTATAAATATCTGTTGTGAAATTGAAAAGACTCAAATACCATTAATACTCAGCTACAATATATATGACTCTGTATATAAATAACGGATCCGATAGGGTTTTTGACATCCAAATTTGCGTTGCAATCTGATTCTTACGAATTACTTATTTCATAGCTTTGCTACTGAACTGAGAGACTAATAAAGCAATCCGAATTGCAATGATAAGATTGGATTGGATCAAATCGGATTCATAAATCAAATAAACACCCCTATTTGTGACACAATTTCGACTTGAAAACAAGGTCTAGGGGCAGCAGCACTCTTCAAAATTTTCATTTTCACCCTTTTTTTTTTTTTTTTGTCTCTTTGGGGACATAGATATGGTTTTAGACTATGTAGCACGGACACAGATACGGACAGAACGACATGGATACATTGGCACGTTAAATTTTTAAAAAGTATTTATATTATTTTCAAGATTAGTAGGTAAACTTGTATGAAAAATATCGGTAAAGTGTCTAGGAAGTATCGGCGAAGTGTCCAAAATATTAAAATTAATTTTTATTTATGGACACGTATATAAAGTATCGAACACGAATTCGAAGAGTGTCGGTATTCGATACGAGTACAACATAAATACGGCTCCTTCGTAAAAATATACATACTTTTTAAATTTTAAATATCTTTTGTATTATAATATATTAGAGCATTTAGGGTTTAAAGTGTCCGGAGAGAACACTGATGGTACAATATAGAGACTGAGATTAGTTTTAAATATTTGTATTTTCCTTGTAAAATAAAAACAGTGTAAAAAATGTAACAGCTGTAGTTGGAGTGTTAAATGAGAGATTAATGGTATTTTATTTTGAGACGATAGGGACTTAAAGACTTCTCACGTAGTAGGCATGAAATGGGCATACCTAATCGAAACTGTCACTGTATTACATTACCTAAAGTGATTAATGAGCGTGATAAAGTGGTCTTAGATGACTTACAACTGGCAACGACAGCCCAAACTAAAAGACAAAATTGCAGGATTCAGAGGGCTAGAGCCGAAGAAACACACAGAGGTCCACATACAATGATGCTTTTTGAGATATGCTGGGTGAGAGCGAGTCACAGCCCAGTGACCTTTGTCCCCCTTGCCCATTGGGAGACTGTGGATTGGACCTCTCCGTCACCGCCATATGAACCAGCTGTGTCACACCCATAATTGTGACCAGCAAAATCTTTGTATCTCCTCCGCTCATACAAGTCATGTTTACAGACAGAGCCTTCTAAAGGTGCCTTTTCAAACAATAATTTTTTTCCAATTGTATTATAATATCTAAAAATTGCTTCAATTTTTTATTAGCGATAAATTATACCGACAAAATTTTTTTTGTAGAATGCTTAAATACAGAATTTTTTTATAATTTATAAAATAACATTTGACATTCATTTTTGGTCCGAGTAATACTGACCTTTTCTTTATTAATATCGCTCAGTATTATTTGTTAATGTCAAAATGGGTAAATTTTTTTTTAAGAAAACTATTTTACTCTTGTAACATTTCAGAGCATATGTCAATGGTAAAAGTACAATAAATATAATTGTCATTTCAAGCTTTTAGTAAACCAACAACACTGACAAGGAATGTTAATGTTATTTTTGAAACCATAAAGAACGTTCATATTATATAAGCAATATGCACACAGGTCAATGTTATTTATCCTTTTATTAATATTTTTTTTATAGAAAATAATCACTTTTCATGTAAAGGAGACTCATCGCTCAATTTTCTAGTTTTTAGAAGAATAAAAGGAGGTAATTACCAATGTATATGTGTTGAAATAACAAGGTTTTAATGTATAACAAAATATAGTAAAAGAATTTATACGAGAGTGAATCCAGATTTTACTAACATTCGATGGTAAATTGTTTTTAATTAAAACAATAAATCAAAGCCCTCTTCAAACTTATAAAAAAAAAAAAAAAAAAAAAAAAAAAACCAAACTATATGTTATTCCTAAAATAAAATTAACAATCTAAATTATTAAGATTTTGCGAATAAAACCATTAGACTAAAAGTTGTCGGACAACCATCAAAAGTGTCTTGAAAGTAAATAAATTGTTCGTAAGATTAATTGTACAAATTAAAACTCTATGCGTTACAAAAAAATTGCTTGTTACGTTACTCTGTAAAATAGGATGTAATATGTGACTGTCTTAGGATTTAAGAAATTTTATGCAATTAATTCAAAAGAAAGAAAATAGATTTTCAAAAGTTCCAATACTTTGACAATTTAGTATTTTTTAACCGTAACTCGGTGAAAGGAGGATTTTACAAATTTTTAATTGTTTTTTATATATTATAATTATTGTCCCGACAATTAACTCCCACAGTAATATATTTGGAGAGATTTGAATTATTTACCTTTCACTTTAAAAAGGATAAAGGTAACATTTTATGGCTTTGGTGGTGCAAATTTTTAATAGTTAAGGGGGTTTATTTGATAAAAATTTAGGATGGGTGGGTCATGTGCAAACTTTTTATAGTTTTTTTTTTTTTTTTTAAAGTTTTTTACAAATTAAACACAAATCAAATTAAAGAAACTTGCTTTACAATAGTACCATTGATAGCTAAAAACTAATATTTTTTTTGTCATTGTTCACGGTAAAGTTAATAACATCAACATCAAGTTTAAAAACAAAAACCTTCAATAATGGAATAGATAAATCGGTCTCTACTTAAGGCCCCTTGCACTCCCTCTATTCCCCTCATCCCACAGATCTCTCTCTCTCTCTCTTCTCTCTCTCTATATCTAAAGGTAATGAACTAGAAACTTGAAGAGCCTCCATTTCTTTTCATTTCTTCTTTTCATTTCCATTTTTGGGGTGTCTTTGTGTTGTCATAAATTTTGTGTTTCTTCTCATTGAACAGAGAAATGGGTTGTTACCATCTATGGAGTCTATCACTTGGTGTGTTGTTGATGGTGTGTGGAACATTGGGTGCTGCTCCAAGGAAGCCTGTGAATGTGCCATTTGGTAGAAACTATGTGCCCACTTGGGCATTTGATCACATCAAGTACTTCAATGGAGGCTCTGATATTCAGCTCCACCTTGACAAGTACACTGGTATTTTTATAACACAATATTTATATTATTGCATTTATATTTTTACCTTTTATAGAGGTTATGATTTTATTTTATTTTTTTTGTTTAGAAATAAATGTTATTGGTTTAATTTTTTGACGATTTGGGTGAAGGTACTGGTTTTCAATCAAAGGGATCTTACTTATTTGGGCACTTCAGTATGCAAATAAAGATGGTTCCTGGAGATTCTGCTGGTACTGTCACTGCTTTCTATGTAAGTGAATCTCTTCATATCTTTTGCTAAGATTTAGATCTACACCTAATTAGCACTACTCTGTTACAGAACAAAGAAACTAAATGAATAGATGATGGTGAGTTGATAAAAAAAAAAAAAAAAATGGTGATGATAGAAAATGAAAATGTGAAGTAAATAAGAAATATTCATAAATAAATAAGTAAAAAAAAAAAGAAAAGAAAAAGATGGTGACTGAAAAAAAAAAAAAAAATGGTGATGATGAAAAATGAATATGTGCCCAAAACCCATTACCTATGCCTATAGGTCCGTCCACCCTAACACTCTACTCTGGCTGGACGCTTGCCAGCTGATTCAAAAGCATAAACCAACAATTTTTATTACTTTCTCTGATTGACATTTATTTATTTATTTTTTGTGGCTTCACTAGCTTCTGTTTATTTTATTTTATTTTTCTTTTCTGGTATTTGGGTAATACTTGGTGTATTTAAAGTTATTATTATTATATTATTATTTTCCAGCTATCTTCACAAAACGCAGAGCATGATGAGATAGACTTCGAATTCTTGGGGAACAGAACGGGGCAGCCCTACATTTTACAGACAAATGTGTTTACAGGAGGGAAGGGAAACAGAGAGCAGAGGATTTACCTCTGGTTCGACCCAACCACAGCCTACCACTCCTACTCTGTTTTGTGGAATCTTTACCAGATAGTGTGAGTTTATTTATATTTCTCTTTAAATTTCAGTAATAACCAAATCAATGCCTTCATGCTTAAACTATTTGCAATTAAATTTCAAAATTCGAAGTACCAAACAATACCCAATTAGCTTAATACTTGGATTAAGTGTAGTTCTGATTTTCTTAATCTCAATGATTCAGTAAAAAAGTAGCAATTAATATCAAAATATCCTATTTCATTGATTGGTAAAAACTCATGTGACACAGTTGAAAGTTTTCTTTGATTTTGTATCAGTAAAATTTCATCCGGATATAATGGAAATTAATTTCTCTTTAAATTAATTTTAAAAATTGATGTAGCAAACACACCCCAGTAATTTCATACTTGGATTAAAACTTTTTTATTTTTTATTTTCTGTAACTCAATGCTTCAATAAATATATTAGAAACTAACTTTACAATATCCTCTTTCGTTGATCAGTAAAAAAGTTATTTGATTTGGTGAAAGTATTTTTTTTTAGTTATATAAGTAAAAACTAATTGGAACTTTAAATTTTCTAGTCCCTTGTTTTAGGGAATGCTATTTTTTTTTTCAAAATAATTTAGTGAGGAAACTTTTGCTATTTTCTCTACATTTATAAGGAAAATTAGAAAATGTCAATATATATATATATAAAATAGACTGTTCTGAGTTCAGGTAGTACAAAGCTCGTCCTAAATCATTCACCTGATGGGTTGTAACCAAAAGTGTTGAAAGTGTAATATATGATAGATCTGATTCGCGTCACTTTTTGAATAAAAGTAACAGAAACAAACATCAATTGATTCAATCAACTTTTAAAAAAATTTCAACTTCCGGAAGAGTTGGTGGAGATTTGCCTTTGTGTTGTTATTATAAAACAGATTGATTCCGACATGGTATCTTTTAATTTTCAACCACAACTATTGACACTCACTTCTCTCTTTTTAACCAAAATGATGATGTTTTGATTATATATATATATATATGACCATATGTGTGTATCAAATGATGTTACAAATGTATGATTTTTTTTGGAGAAAGTATCACACTGTCCAGATCACCACAGGGCCAGTGGCCCCCGCCTCATATTTTACCCTTGGAACTTTGTATCATTACTCTTTTCGTAATTGGGATGATTGTCTGATGGATTGTGGTTGTTGCGACGAATCAGGTTCTTCGTGGACGATGTACCGATTAGGATTTTCAAGAACAGCAAGGACTTGGGAGTGAGGTTCCCATTTGACCAACCCATGAAGATATACTCGAGCCTGTGGAATGCCGACGACTGGGCCACGAGGGGTGGGCTCGAGAAGACGGACTGGTCCAAGGCACCCTTCGTGGCCGCCTACCGGGGCTTCCACGTTGACGGCTGTGAGGCCTCGGTCCAGGCCAAGTTCTGTGCCACCCAGGGCAAGCGTTGGTGGGACCAAAGGGAGTTCCAGGATCTTGATGCCCTCCAATACAGGAGACTGAGATGGGTCCGCCAGAAATTCACCATCTACAACTATTGCACTGATAGGGTCAGGTTCCCTACAATGCCTGTTGAATGCAAGAGAGACAGAGATGTATAAAAGCCCGAATCCATCATTTATCTATACCTATATATTTATATATATATATATATATATATGGGAGATGGGTTGGGTCTTATTCTTTCCTTTCTGCCTAGTATCATGTGTATCAATGTCAGGTGTCATTGTGGGATGCATCATTTATATTTCTTTTTCTTGTCCAATTCTATATGTAATATGTACCAATTCAAAGTTAGCATTTGGACTCATCCCTTGTGAGTGTATGCATTTATTATTGTTACTTTTGGATTCAAATTATTATTTTTAATGGCATTAGCTGTTTTTATATTGGAGGTGTACTATATTTTATGATCCATATTCCATATTTTACCCTCTTCCCCATGTGCAATGAATCTGAAAGTGACAGCTGACTATGTTCTCATATCAAGAACTGACACAAGCATATATCTGCACTCTAACAAGATAAACACTCAACTCCAAACTATAATCACATGGATTATAGTGATGATAGTCAACATGTCTCTTGCAACAAATTTGAACAAAAATCAATTTTTTCATAATAGCTCTTTTTTTTTAAAAAAATTAAAAATTTTAAAAGTTTGGGGTATGTTTAATTTGTAATTCTGAAAATAATTTTTAGAAATATAGAAAATAAAAAGATAATTATAAAAGACTATTATTTAAAAAGAAGCACTTTAATAATTGGATTTTCAAAAATAATTTTCAGAAAATTAAACTAAACACAATTTTTTGTACAGTTTTCTGTTATTCGAGAATAGAAAATTGTGTATTCCATAATTATAAATTAAGCAAACTCTTGATTATTGTTGTTTTTAAATTTGTCTTTATAATTTCTTAAAAATAATTTTTTATTTTTTGAATTATTAAGAGCTAATTTTGAAAAATTGGACCAAACATGTTCTTGTTTTTTTACTTTTGTTTTAAGTTGTGTGGAAGGGATAATCAATAATGTGACATGAACATAGCATAAATGTAGGCTTTTTAAAAAGTTGGGTAAGAGGAGTGAAAAAGTGATTTTTCTATCAAATTTCCATGAGTGTGCTGGGGAAGACAACTCATCTACATGCACATGCTGTTGTGAGGACAACAGCTTTTGTCTGTAACCTATTTCTCAGTCTTATGTCAACAAGTCGCATTCAAAATTCAGTGACAACATGAAATATATTTCAAGACACCACCCACAAGATTTTATTGCGAATCCATTTATTTGCCTTGTTACACCACATGAATTTTGTTACTAGGAAAAATATCTACAAATTAGGGTTTCATTTGTTATATGGAAAAATCCATATATTAGGTTTATTATTAAGTTTGATTTGATTTTAGGGCAAATCAAGAAAAATAACTTTAATGTTTAAATTTTGTGCAAATATCACTCTTAATTTTTATTTATTTATTTCTTTGTATATAAGTGCGTTAAGTTAAAAAAAAAAAAATGATTAAATAAGAGTTTGAGGTCACAAAATGATCAAAGAATTTTTTTTTTCTTTTGGTATATAAATGCGTTAAGTTTGAAAAAATAATTAAATAAGGGTTTGAGGTCACAAAATGATCAAAGAAAGCTTGACGTGACTATTTCGTTACAAATTTAATTAGAGAAAAAAAGAAGAACTTTCACATTTAATTATTTTTTTATTCTTTTTATTTAATTATAGAGGGGCACTATAGTCTTTTCAGCATTTAGACCCTGATTTGCTCAAAAATTGAATGTTGGGAAATTTTCAGAATGTACAAAGGGTTATACATTCTATATGCATACTATATGGATGTTTTTCGTTCCCAGTAGAGGTGACAATTCGTGTTGGCATGTTCGTGTCTATGTCAACACGATTACGACACGTACATGATTAGGGTTGACACGAATACGACACGATTATTACACGTGTAACACGACACGACTTGCGTGACCTGTTTAATAAATTTAAGTCATTTTTTACACGAACAAGACATGTTTATTCTACACGTTTAATTAAATGAGTCATTTTTTTACACGAATACGATACATTTAGTTAATTGGGTTAATCGTGTTATAATTGTGTCTACATGGTCAAACATGAACACGACACGTTTAATTAGCGCGTCAATCCGTATCGACACGATTACGATACGAATATGATTAACCAAAACCTAAATTCACTTATATGTATCATGTTTACATATTGTGTCAAATAAAACTCAATAAAAAAATTTCATTGGTGGGTTGAATATGAAAGGTCTCATTTAAATTCTCATGGTGATAAGATCAAACAAGCTAAGCAATTTAAAACAATTGTGACTTGTCATGAAAATAGTTTCTAAACAATTAATTTATTATAATAGTTTGTCATAAACCCAATTCACCCCTTTTTGGGTTAATAAATATTTATTATCAATCACGGCGGAGAGAGTAATTTTGGGTGTGAACAAAATTAATTTTAAAAGTTCATTCTGACAGTAATTCGGGCAAATCTCAGAGGTCGTTGGCTAATTTTAGGTATACATACATGATAAATATAGAAAGCCAAAGAGGGTAGTTGGTAGAATTTGGCTAAATTTGAAATGCCCAAACAAATTCAAAACAAGCTTCAAAATTTCAAAAGAAGCATACTGTTATATGAGCGATATATACACGGTGTATTATAATAATACACCAAACAAGCTTCAAAATTTCAAGAACCAAGCTGACAAACAGGTGAATTGCTTCACGTACCATCATGAAATCAGCTGTAAGTCTTGAAATATGTATTTTTATTAGGTTCAGAAAATTGAAGACAGAAAAGTTTAGCTTTGGAGACACTTCAACAAGAATCAACATTTGCAAAAAGAAAAAAGAAAAAAAACCTCAGCCTATATATATATATATATATATATATTGAATAATTCTTATTTTTGAAAATTAAAAAATTGTAAAAAAATTTGACTGGTTAATTGGTTTTTGAAAAATCCGTTATAAAAATGTTTGTTTATTTTCAAATAATTGCCTTTCATAATTTTAAATAATAATTTTATTTTTATTTTTAATTTTCTTAGACTTATTAGGAGTTATTTTGGAAAATATGACTTTATTTTGTACTTTTATTTTAAGGTTGCGGGGAAGGAATTCTCAATAATGTGACATGAACATGGAGCATAACTATAGGCTTTTAAAATGTGTTGGTAAAGGGTTTGAAAAAGTGTCGCGATAATCATACAAAGCAATTTTTATACTCCAAAAGTATCAAATTTCAATAAAGTATGCTGAGGATGACCACTCATCTATCTACACATGCTGTTCTGAGGGCCACATCTTTTGTCTATAACCATTTTCTCAGTCATAAATCCAATTTACCCCTTTATATAAAAAATTGTGTAATCTAGTGGTATATCTCCTACTTCTTAAAAAGAATGGAACAAAAATAGAAATGTAAGTTTATTGTCAATGAATAAAAGAAAAAAAAAAAAAAAAAAAATATTCTAATACATACATATATATATATAGAAAGCCAAAAAGAGGGAGTTGGTAGAATTTGGCTACATTGACATGCCCCAAATGTGGTGCAAACAAATTCAAAACAAAATATTGTTCAATTTCTTCTTTTTTCTGGTAGAAGCAGACTGTCATAGAACAGAGATATATACACCACACAAGCTTCAAAATTTCAAAAACCAAGCTGATAAACAGGAGAATTGCTTCACCAACCTTCATGAAATTAGCTGTGAGATATGCACTTTTATTAGGCTACATTAAACACACAAAAGTCTAGGTTTGGTAACAAGTTTTGTATATAATTTTAAACACATTAAACCTTTATTCAATGAAGTACATAATTTAAATATCACTGAAAATAATAAACACCACTTAAAATAAAATAAGGTTTTAAGTGACAAAGATATCACTCATTATTGAAGGCTAAATATTCAAAATTTAAAAAATATATATAAAAAATTATTATCTGTAGTTTATATACAGGCATTTTAATTAAATAGTTTTATTTGAATTAGTTGTGTAATTATGTTTGTTTATTTGATTTAAATTGTTAATTGTTTATCATTTTTTCTGATTTTGTTTATTTGTGTTTGGACCGTGATCTACTCATGGGTGAGTGCATCTCATAAATATAAAAAAAATAGAATTAGAAAAAAAAAATGATTGTAATAAATAGAATTATTTAGGAAGGAGTTAGAAAAATTAGAAGGTGGAAAATAAATACAATAGGGTAATTAATAAAGGGTATAAACAAATTTAGCATGTAATAGGGGTCACAGAATCCTGCTGCCAAACAGATCGCAATGTGTCATCGTGTGTGTGATATAGATAATGGCTCAATTCGTCGTCCAATTGACGTGCGAAACCCTAAAAATAGAGGGCAGGTGGAAGACTGATGGCGACGTCCATGGGACTATTGCTAATGAAAAAATCTGGGAACAAGGCAATCTCTGGAGGAGTTAGCCGGAGGAGGAGCTAGAGCGAAACCCAATGTCATGCATGCACGTATGTCTCATATACTTCAATGGTCGTGCAATTAGATGAATTCATGCCTTTTAATTCAACATTCAATACTACACAAGCTTTTCAAAATTTCTAAACTATATTTCATACTTTCAAATCATAAAATTTAGCACTAAGGCACAAATAGTATAAATTTATCATCAATTAGACATACTTCAACATCCTACACCATATATCACATAGTTACATACTTTGCACAACACATAAGTAATATTGCATGAAATATTCACAAATTGAGCATGGTAAATCACAAATTTAGAGGAATTGACTCACAAAAATCTAAGAGATTGTGGATTAGAGACCCCTACCTCAATTTGTAGACCCCAAATTATGCCCTAAAATTTGAAATTCCTACTGTGGCCAAAGGGAGATCGGCTCTGATCAAAACAACGGCCTCGACGAGTTCTCCAACTTTGCCTAAAGCTCTACTAACAAAATCCCAAAGGCAAGAAAGAGATCAAAACTTGAAGCTTTGCAGAAAAAGAAAGAAAAAAAGAAAAAGAGGGAGAATGAAAACGTGGATAGAGAGAGAGAAATTGAGGCAAAAAAAAAAAAAAAAATGGCCTCTTGGCCTTTAAAAAGAAGAAAATGGTGGGCCCTATCAAAAATTAAAATATCCACCTTTCTTTCATTATATATAAACATTTAATTTTCCAACCACACAAAATTTCAAGTTACAATAATAAAAATATGCATAAAATAATTATACATGAAATGTAATGGACCCAAAACATAGTCCCCGTACACAACAGTCCCAGCAGCAGGTCCCACCCAGGACTTCTCGGTCCGAAAAACAGAAAAATGCCAAAATGGCAATCAGTGCATTTCTAAGAGTCCC